ATATATGAGGGTTTGGAGGACTTTTCCGGAGTTTAGGGGGTTGGAAGGATTAGGGTGCATCAGTATTGGGAGACATATTGGAGGTTATTGAGGTCTGAGGAAGCTGAAGGGTTTGGGGTACTTGGGGATTGATGGTGGGGCTGCAATGCAGGGGGCGTCTGTGGACAGCCTGGTGCATATTGGGTCCTCATGGGGTGAACCCCTTCTCACCCCACCCCCCCACCTTCCCCAGGCATCCTGGAGACAGATATCACCTTCCTCCTCATCTTCATTTCTTCATTGTCATCTTCTCATTATTCATCAGTGAGTGGCTGGGGGGAAACCTGAGCTTCGAGGGGGCCTGGGGGGAGGTGGTGCTTTGAGAGATCCTCTGCTCACCCCCCAGTCCCCCCAGACCTGGTCTAGGGATGGCAGCTGCTCCACACCACCTACAAGATGCTCCATGGTAGCTGCCACCATGGAGCGTGAAGGGGGAGCTTGCGGGGCTATGGGCAGATTTGTGAGGGCCGGGGACGGCTGCAGGGACTGGAGAGCATTGGCATCTGTGGAAGTTATACTGGGATTTGGGGGATCTTCAGAGATTGGGAGGTGTCAAGGTCTGAGGGGCATATTGAGATTTGGTGGGGCTGAGGGTTCTGAGTGGGTTTGGGCGGGGTTTCACAGCAAAGTATAGGGGTTATGGGGGGGTACAGGGGCACTTTGAAATCATGGGAGGTGATGAGGGGCTTGGGAGAGTACAGGAAGTATAAGGGTGATGAAGCAGGGGGTAGGGGGTGTGATGAAGGTGAGTGCCCAGCCCTCCCCACATCCCCATGCCAGCTTCTCCCCCTCTGTCAGCTCCCTCATTTTCCTCCTCATGCTCATCGTGCTGGGCAAGTGCTTTTCCATCACAAGCTCCCTCATTTTCCTCCTCATGCTCATCGTGCTGGGCAAGTGCTTTTCCATCACAGGTACCACGGGGGGTATAGGGAGATGGTGTGGGGGGCATGGGGGCAGCTGTTCGTCACTATGGGGCAGTCAGGGGTCCCTACACATTGTTTGGAGGGTGTCTGTGAGGTATGTTGGGTCCCACTTTCAGGGGCATCCCAGACTTATGGGGGGCAGTGTATTCAGTCCAATGATGGGTCCCCCAATTGCCTGGGAGCAGGAGGTTTATGTCCCAATCCCATGGGGAAGTTCTCAGTTCCGATAAGGTAAATCAGGTACATGTGGGGGGTCTCAAGGCCATTTATTGGCGAGGAGTCCCCAGTACCATGCAGAGGGGCCCAGGTCCCTGGGTGGGGATTCATTCCATGAAGTGGTATAGTGTCCCTTGTCCCATCAGGAGGGTCCCAAAAATGAAGTGGAGGAAGGATGCTCTTGCCCTGTCCTGTTTGCCACAATGTTGAGTTCCTGGCCTTTATTCAGGGTCTTCCCCCGGTGTATATTTTGTCTCCCAGAGGAACACAGGGCCACTAGACAGATGTACCAGCTGGCCAGGAAGAGTCCAGGCACCTCCTGCCACAGGGCATGGACACTGAGGGATGGGGGATAGAGTGGGATCATGGGGGACACATGGGGGACATTGGGGACATATGGGTGACATGAAGACATTGGGGGGACCGGTGGGACATGAGGGACCCTGGGGACACCTGTGTACATGAGGGAGATGGGGGGACATTGGGACACAGGGTGGCAATGAGGGTACTGTGTCCATGGAGAGGGGTGGTGTTGGAAATGATGCAACTTCTAAAATTTTTAACTTTAGTCAGGGGTTTTGTTCATCTTCACCCAGGGGGAAGGGAATGGAAGTTCTTTTCAAGAGACTCTGTTGCCCAGGCAAGGCCTGATGAGCTTGATATCTCAATGGACTGGGAGGTGCCAGAGAATGCACAAGATATAAATAACCATTAACGCTCAAACATCCTTCCTGGTGTGTCAGAGACCCCTGGTCGGGGAAAAGGTCAATAAGAGAACAAAGAATGAGGACCTAATTAGCATTGTAGGCAGAGGGATCAATAACCAATAGGAAACCAAATACAAAGGACTGTAACTTATAGCCAATGAATGTTGAACCAATGAATTTTTCCAGGTTTTGACTGTGTAAGTATGTGGAAAAAAAAGCCATGTGTGATGGAATGGTTTTCTCTGCACAATCCAGGCAATGTGTGGATTACATTATTTATGTTGCAGATTCTGGCCAGAAAAACATCCTAGCCAGAATAAAGTAATACTTTAATTCTCTAAAAGTAAAAATGTTGGAGAATGTTTGCTTTTTCTACAGTTTTGGTAAGACAGTGACTCCATGTCTCTCCATATCCCCCCACAACACCTCTGTGTCCTTTTCCCCAGGTGGATCTCATGGACAGCTGCAATCCTCAGCTGACCCCCACTGGTCACAGGGAGGCACTGGGAGCTACTCAGACCATGCTGGGAGCAACTGGTAGATACTGGAACCATGGTGGGGATACTGGGATCACAACTGGGATAACTAGGATCATACAGGGAACAACTATATAACCATGCTGGAGAGTGAGTGACAGGGAGTAAGGGGAATCATACTGGGGATGAATGGTAGCAACTGGGACCATGGGATCACACTGGTATCATAGTGGGAGTGACTAGGATCATACAGGGAATGACTGGAACCATACTGGAGGTGATTGGGAGCCACTGAGATCACGGCCAGAAGGGTCCAGCAAGCTCCAGGCCCTGGTGCTGGGACAGCCCTGGAACAGATTCTCTGGGGGGAGCCCATGGCATGGACAGGAAAACCAGGGCATTGGGAACAGCCAGGGCTTGGGAAAGGCAGGTCCTGCCTGACTCACCTGATCTCCTGCTGTGCCTAGGTGGCCCCAGAGGATGTTGGACATGTGTTGGTATGTCTGCCTGAAACTCAGTAAAGCCTTTGGCACTGCCTCCATCTCCCTGCCTCTCCTGGAGCACCTGCATCTCCCAGCTGGGAGAGGTGCTTCTTGTTGGGAACACCTGTCTGCTGCCCAGGCCGAGGAGGGAGTGGGAATGGGGCTATAGCCAGCTGGGGCTGGGCACTGCTGGGGTTCTCCAGGGCTCAGTGTTGGGACTGGTCCAACTGATCTTCATCTGTGTGGTGGTTTCACATTGATTGATGTTTGGGGAAGAAGTAAGAAACTAATCACAGAAGTGATTTCTTTAAGAGAAGCTGGGAGCTTCCTCTCTGCCTGGGAAAGGCCAATAGCTGGCTGGTTCTGAGAACTGACAACATTTTGAACCATTTAGAAATTAGATCCGCCTCTTTGAGATCCACATTTAAAAAACCACAAGTCTAGGAACTCTGTGCTTCCAGCCTCGAAGGGTAGCTGAACTCTGGTGGGGCTGGCCCCACTCCTCTGTGGCCTGTGTGGCCCAGGGTGGGTGCCAGGCTGGACCCCAGCAGCTCCCAGGCTGGGGACAGGACGCTGCTGGGCCACGGCTGCTGACGTCTCGCCGACACTAAATTCCCTCCCCAGCCCATACCGACAGCTCCAGGAGTGCCCCCCACCAACCCCCAGCGGCTGCCAGCACGGCCTGAAATCCAATACAGTGATTGCTGTGGCCCCTGGGTGAGATTTAACCCTTTCACTACACAGATGAGACCTGCAGACCTTAATCCTCTCTAGAGAAAGAAAAAGAGTGATGACTTGTAGAAAGACAACATGAAAACAGCAAGGTCAGTAAAGAAAGAGTCAAACCTCAAATGGAAAGAGAATGAAGAGATGCCTAATGAGGCTGAAGTATTCCTTCAATAGGGCCATGGAGATGGACAATGATACACTGAAATATCCCCTTTAATTCATGAGAGAGTATGGAGGCATGAAGCATTCAAACTGTGGATTCAGCAGAGGCATCCACTGATGAAGCCAAGCAGATGTTGGAGTAGCTGTGATCCCATGAGATGCTTGAACAGAGAGAGAGATGAGAGTTGATGAAGACCCTTTGCCCCCAGGGGGAGAAGAAGAAAACATGTTCTCAGAGATGATCACAGAGACAGATAAAGAGAACCTTTACCTTTGAGCAACTCATCCTTAAAATAATATCCCATGAGTTCATGGCCCATGGACACACCTCTAGGAGGGCTGTGAAAATGGGAGGAATTTCACAATGCAGAACTTTTTCCCAGGCAGCTGCTAATTGTGGAAATGAAAAGCCACAAGAAAACAGTTTATTGTGGAAAAGTCTCCATGGCATAGCAAGAGAAAATTCCTCTCCTTGCAAGAACTGATGAAAGACTATTGTATAGCTGGTATCTGATCTAACATCCCAGGCGTTGTCTCTATGTTGTCAGTTAAAGAAGTTGGGGAGGGGAAGAATGCATTCTGATGCTTCTTATTCTTGTAGTTCTATTAATAAAATTTCTTTATACCTTTCAAGCTTTGAACCTTATTTGCCTTTCTCCTAATCCATATCTCACAGCAAGGAATGACTAAGCACACTGGTGATTTTAGCCAGCACTAAACCCACCACAATCTGTGACTTGGACAAGGGGATTGAGGGCACCCTTGGGAGATTCACAGATCACACCAGCTTGGGTGAATCTGTGGATCTGGTGATGGGCAAGAACTTCTGCAAAGGGATCAGGACAGGCTGGATCAGTGGGCTGAGGATAACAGTGTGAGGGTCAAAAGAGCCAAGTGCTGGGTCACCATGACCCAATGGAATACTCCAGGTTGTGAAAGAAATGGCTTGAGAGCTGCTCAGCAGGAAGGAATTTGGAGCCGCTGGTTGGCAGCCATCTGGATTTGACCCAGTGTGTGCCCAGGTGAGCAAAAAGGCCAGTGGTACCTGGCATGGATCAGCCATAGTGTGGCCAGCAGGACCAGGGCACACGGTTGGCCCCACGTTGAGTCCTGTGCCCAGTTCTGACCCCTCACTGCAAGAGACACTTGAGGGGCTGGAGCATACCCAGGGAAGGGAACAGAGCTGGGGAAGGGGCTGGAGCACCAGGAACAGCTGAGGGAGCTGCAGGGGCTCAGCCTGGAGTAAAGGAGGCTTGGGGGGCTGTCGTGGTTTTAAACTACTAACTAAGAAAATTACTTACTTTTTGCTGTGAGATATGGATTAGAATAAGAGCAAAACAGGTATACAACTTAAAAGGGAAAAAAAAAGAAAGTTTATTGACAAACTACAATAATAAGAACACCAGAATAAACTTCCAGAAAAACCCTTCTATCCCCTATCTACCCACTATTCCCTTGTTCACATGACAACAGAGACAAAAACTCTGGAACTCTGATGGTTAAAACAGTCTTAATTCTTGCTAGTCTTTTTACTAATCTTTATAGAGAAACAGAAGTTTCTTCCTGTTAATTTATGGAGTTTCTCACAAGAAAACTATTTTTGTTATAGTTTTCTATTGCTCTAATGTTAGCTGTCCAGAGCTGCTATTATTAGAGTTCACTCCTCCCATTCTCACATCACTCTGAAGTGTGTATGGGCCATGCGTCTAGAGATAGCATTTTTAAGGATAAGTTATTCAAAGGCAAAAAAAGTCTTCTTCATCTGTTTCTGTGAGCTTCACCAGAAAACAGTTTTCTCATGGCCTCTCAGGGCTTCAAATCTCCCAACAGTTTTCTCATGGCCTCTCAAGGCTTTTAATCTCCCAGTACTTCACTATACTATAATTACTCTTTACTCAAATTTACACTTTGAACACTATTCCTCTCTAGATCCTATATCATGAATTAAAGGAGTTCTTTTCAGGACTTCATTGTCCATCTCCATAGTTTTAACAGGGAGATATTTCAGCTTAATTAAAGCATCTTCTTAATTCTCTACCTTCCTTGAAGCTTCTTTTCTTTCCTGTCAGTGGTAGTTTATAAAGTCTCTTTTCATGTTGATCTCTCTCTCTCTCTCTCTGGATAAAAAGATTAATCCGCAAGTCTCATCTGGGTAATGAAAGAGTTAACATCTTGCCCAGGCTTTTGTAGATGGTTTGGGGATCTCTGCCGAACAGGAGCTGGAGCCGTCTGCGATGGGAAGTTCCTCATGGCTGCTCTGGAGCGTGTGGTCGCTGTTCCAACCCGCTGCAAGTCCAGGGCCTCCCTCTTTCTTCACTGGGCAGTTTCTAGTAAATTAGTTACAGCAAAACTTGCAGCTGAGCCAGAGATCGGCTCGGCCCGGGCCCGAGGAAAACCTTCCCCAGGCCCCCCATCTCCCGGCCGGGAGACGGGGCAAGCCCGGCCCCGTCCCCGCCCGGCCGCATGGCCTGGGCAGGGACAGGAGGCCTGGAGCTCTGCCACCCTCCACAGCCAGAAAAACAAAGAGAGCCCAGAGAGCTCTGCTTTTACACTTTAAGGTAGGGTTCACAAGTTGATCCCACTTATGGCCTAAACTCCTGTCAATTCTCAGCAATGACCGATAATTGGTCAGGAGAAAAGACTCCAAGCACTTCCCAGCAACTCCAACTCCCTTAAAAGTAAAGTAACTCCATGACAGGGGCCCTTCTGGCTCTGCACAACTCCCTGACAGGAGGGGGCAGCCGGGGGAGTTTGGGCTCTGCTCCCAGGGAACAGAGACATTTCCCAGAGGAAATGGCCTGAAGCTGTGCCAGAGGAGGTTTGGGTTGAACATCAGGAGGAATTTCTTCAAGGAAAAAGTTGTCAGGCATTGGAACGGGCTGCCCAGGGAGGTGGTGGAGTCCCCATCCCTGGATGTGTCAAGGAAGAACTGGATGTGGCACTCAGTGTGATGGTTGAGTCATAATGTGGAAATTGGTCAGAGGTTAGACTCAGTCTTGGAAGGATTTTCCAACCTCAATGATTCCATGAAATGAGTGTATGGTGGCCCACTGGGAGGACTGGGAGGAGCTGGAGGATCTAGAGGGACAACTGGAGTGTCTAGTGTTGGAAACTGGGAGGTTTGATGGTGTCAAATAGGGGGTGTGATGGCCCACTGGGAGAACTGAGGGGCATCTGGGTGGCTAGGGTGGACATATAGGGGCAACTGGGAGGCTTGATAGGGTCAAATGAGGGGTGTGGTGGCCCACTGGGAAAACTGGGGGTAAACTGGGAGGTCTGTGAGGCAATGCCCTCAAGAGACCCCCAAAGTCTGCCTGAGTTACCATGGGTTCACTAACTCCCCAATCTGCTTCTCCAATGGATTTCATGGACAGCTGCAACCCTCGACTGACTCGGGTACTAGGAGGCACAGGGAGCTACTGGGACCATGCTGGGATGTGTGAAGACACTGGGAGCAAATGGAAGATGCTGGAAACATGTTGAGAGTACTGGGACCACAATTGGGGTAACTAGGATCGTACAGGGGACAACTGGAACCATGCTGGGGTGTCTGGAACCACACCGGGGGCCTACTGGGAGTGATTAGGATCATAATGGGATCATTCTAGCAGGGACAGGATTTGACTGGGGTCATTGGGAGTGTAATAGTGATCATACTGGGAGCCATTGTGATCATACTGGACTGCCCCTGGGAGTGACTGGAATCATACTAGGATCATTTTGGGAGTAACTGGAACCATGCAGATGACCGGGAGCACTGGGAACCACACTGGGAGTGACTGGACACTCTGTAATCGACTGGGACGATAACGGATACCGTACTGGGATCACACTGGGACGGTAATTGAGATTACCCTGGGAGCCCCAAGCCGCGGGGTGTTTAGAGGGCGGAGCCATGAGATTTATGCTAATGAGCTTTCTGCCGCCCCGGCACCATCGAGTCGCGGAGTCTGGCGGCGCAGAGCGGTCGCGCGCCCCGACAGGCGCGGCGGGAGGAAGTGACGTCACGAGCAGCGCGACGCGGCGGGAGGTTTGAACAGTGCGAGGTTTGAACGGCGCTGAGCGAGGTTTGGGCAGCGCTGGGCGAAGTTTGAACAGCGCTGATCGAGGTTTGGGCAGCGCGGGGCGAAGTTTGAACAGCGCTGAGCGAGGTTTGGGCAGCGCGAGG